GTACAATTCTTAAAAAGTTTGTTTAAACAGTTAACTTTATCTTTTAAATCCGCAATTTTAACAAGTCCTGTAAATTGCAGTTATCCCTTCCAAATTGTGAGTGGAGGGGAGTTTACCGTGATCTGGAAAATCCTCACAAAATTTTTTGGTCCTCCTTTCATACCAGAGAAGTAGAAATTGTGTATATTTATGGTATTAAAAGATAAAATATTGATATTATGTAATACTATACATAAATTTTATGCATTTCTGAGTTTCTAAACTTTTTCTGTCATCTGCTAGCCTTCGTGTGTCATCTTCGGCTCCCACAAAACTCCCAAAAAACTCCCAATTAATTTCTTATGCCGACCCGAATACGGAGGGGATAACTGCACTCATTTTGCTAATCTAAGTAAGTCATTCAAATATACAGTTGGGAGACAGCCTCCTGGGAGGAGGGAGTGCATTAAAACTGCCCTTTTTTGCTAGAGTACTATTTCTGGCTAGGGACTCAGAACTGTACAGTTGTGATTCCTTTTTATAACTTCCTATGGCAGAAAGAATATTTAAACTGGGTCCCTCAGATGGGCTAGACTGGCACTGAGTCTGGACCAAAGACATCTTCTTGGGGTTGTTTTGAGGGGAAAGCTATTCCTGAAGGGAATGGGGTTAAGGAAGTCAAGAGTAAGTAGTACCCTGGCCCAACCAAAGTCATTTAGGATGAGCAAGAGTGACTGCCCAAAAAAAAAAAAAAAAGAGTGACTGCCAATCTTGTCACCAGCATAGCACTACTCTATAGCCACTAACTACACCTAGCAACACATAACTTGGTGGCTAGCAACCTGCATCAGAAGCTGGCTTTCTTTCATAAACTTTGTTGTCCAGTGCTTTCAGTATTACCTGATTCTTCGTGACCCTATACTGGGAATTTTCTTGGCAAAGATACTGGAGATCTGCCATTTCCTTATCCAGTTCATTTTACAGATGAGGAAACTGAGGCAATGCAGGTTAAGTGACTTGCCCAGGGTCACACAGCTATTAAGTGTCTGAGGCCAGATGTGAATTTAGGAAGATGAGTCTTCCTCACTCTAGGCCCAGTGCTCTATCCACTGCAACACTCCATGTTACAAATACAGACCTCAAAAATAACCTTGAAAATTCAACAACTTACCTGTATTGGAACCAGACCACTGTTATAAACAGAACTGGTGCCCACAGTCATCTAGGCATAATACGCAACTATAAACATTCAAGAATATTAATAGATAGCAATAACTAATAAATAAACATCATATGGATAGAACACAGGTCCTGGAGTCAGGAAGCCTCGAGTTCAAATCTGGCCTCAGACACTTGACACTTACTAGCTGTGTGACCCTGGGCAAGTCATTTAACCCATTGCCTAGCCAAAGAAGCAAAACAAAAAACAAAAAAACAAACAAAAAATAAATAACCATTACAATCTCCAAGCTATATAGAACAAAAACTTTTCAAAACACAGAAACTTAGCAGAAGAAATCAAAATTTCATAAAAATAGCATCTTAGAGGTGTATATCATTCTTGTCATATTGTCTACTCCTGGATTTGTCCCTAAGATGCTTTCAATGAGCCTTCAGAAGGTGAGCTTATATCCCAATACTTCCATTCAATTATAATATGCCATTATTTTATCTATCTGTGCAATAGTCTGCAGACCATTAACTACAAATGAATAATGGCAGGATGACAACCTGTCCCAGAACCATTTTTATCTGAACTCCGTCAAAGAATGAGATGAATAAAAATAACATACTCCCACTCCTTTACAAACCAACAAATGATAAAACCCCACACTGCAAAGACAAATCTCAAAAGATCCTTGAGAACTCAACAAATAAACTGTATTAGAACCAGGGTGTCATCCCAGAAACAACTTGCCCACAATCAACCGAGCATAAGTAACTCATAAAAAAATCTAAAAACATTTTTAATAGATACTACCATAATGAATATTCATAACCTCCAGACTATGTAGAATGAAAGACTGATGATGAAGCATACTACACACTGTCTAACTGAAAGATGATGGACCCAAGATGCAGAGACATACGTTTTCAGACAGGACCAATGTACAGGGACAATGTTTACTAGTCATATTTTCTACAAAGGCTTTTTCTTTTTCTTTTTTCTTTTCCAGAGAGTGGAAGGAACAGTAGGGAAAGAAAAAAAGGAAGAAGGGAGGGGGGAGAGAAGAAGGAAGGGAAGGGGATTGAAGCATCTACTTTTAAATGCACAGAACAGAAGAAAGACCAGGAAGAATCAGACACAGAGGATAGCTCTGAAAGTCATATATTGAATTTATTGTGTATTTGAAGAAGAGATATAGTTTCATATATAGATACTCCTTTTCTTCTGTTATGTATGTGGAAATGCCCACTTTATTTGGAGTTTAAATTTGGAATTTTTAAAATACAACTTAAAAAATTATGTGGAATGAAAAGATTCCAAATTATAGAGGCTCAATGGAAAAAAGTCAAAACCATATGTGCACAAGATGAAGCATATTTCATCCCTATCATCCTGTCTGCTACTAGAGTTGCTGCAAAGATACTTTCAATAAACCTACAAAGACGAACTTATATGCCAACAGTTTTATTCACTTACAAAAGCAATCATTATATCCACACCTCTGTAATCATGAAAACATTAAACAAACAAAAAGGAGCCTGTAGAATAGTAACCTGTTCTAGGATCATCTCTATCTGAATTCCATATTGCATATAAGATGAGAATAAAAAAAATAAAAAAAATTATAGCACTTAAGTTATTTATATCATGCTTTAAGGCTTTTATCAAAGCACATCTCATTTGGTCCTCCATTAAGGCTCAACAGAGTACTGCTATTTTTATCCCAGTCTTACAGATAAGGAAACCAAGGAATCAAATGAGAATGTAAATAAAGCATTTGCTTTACAAAACTTAAACCTCTATATGCTTTATAATATTAGAGTGACATCCTCCCCCACTACTTTTTTTTTTTTGGCCTCTAAACAATCTCTTTGATTCAGTAACATGTAGTCAGCCTAGTAAGGACCTGATACTGTTGGCAGAAATTCAAAATTGTTTTAAAACTTCAGTTTCTACTTTTTAACCATGATATCCCATCATTTAATTTGTCCCTTTAACAAATTAAGAGATGAGGTCTAGAAATAAACTGTTCTCCTCTCATAAAGAATTACCTTATATAAAAGTCACTTAAAGACCAGGGGGAACAGCATCAACGGGGATTCTGTGAAGGAATTAAAAGGATAGTCATTAACAAGGATACATCAACAGTGACAGCTGGTCTGGAAAATTCAGAAACTTCTTGTTGTTCAGTCATATCCAGCTCTTCACAACCCCATTTAGGGTTTTCTTGGCAAAAATACTGTAGCGGTTTGTCATTTCCTTCTCCAGTTCATTTTACAGATAAGGAAACTGAGACAAACCAGGTTAAGTGACTTGCCCAGAGTCACACAGCTTGTAAGTGTCAGAGACCAGATTTGAATTTGGGAAGATGAGTCTTCTTCACTCCAGGCCCAGCACTGGGCACAGCACACTGCAAAGGCCTAAATTTGGACCCACCTGATATCCTTAAATTAAGTAATACAACTTCAAATGACAGCTGCTAAATATTCTACTAGATAAATAGACCTTTCAGGGATTCACCCACTCCCTCTTCAATTTTCCTTGGGTTTTTACTTTAACTTAGAGCTGGAGGTCCCCCGTCCCCCCCAGATACAACAGAGGAATTTTCCAAGGGTAAAGCCACAAAAAGTTCTGTTTTCCCAAATTAAAAAGGTACAAAGTCTTGCAAAAACGGATTTTCAGCTTCTCAATATCACAAAGACAATTTCATCAGTCATGCTTAAAAAAAAAAAGGTAATGAAAAACAACTATTTTTTTTAAACCCTTGGTTCTACCAAATTTTAGCTATTAAGTCAGTTACAACACTGGTACTTTAAGACGCATTCCAGAAAAAAAAAAAGTGCTGTTGAAAGGAAGATTTCCACTTCAGCAGCGCTAAAGTTTTGCCTCACCCCAACACCATCAATTGTGCACTACAACAGATAGCGTAATGCATCCTGTCTCCTCTATCTTTTGAGAAACACTCCTTCACGTTTCACGAAATTAGCTTAAGTGAGACCTAGGATGCAGACTGGACCCCGATGCAGACCAGCACCTAGTAAGATGTCCACTGACGGCATCTCCACCTCACCACCACCAAAAACACCCCCTCCCCCAGACTGCACCTGCCCCAAGTCAACCCCCACCCCGTGATAACACAGGAAAACACATCGAAGAGAGCAAGCCTAAGGGATACAGGAAGAGGTGAGGAACTCATTCTTCTCCCACGCTCCTGTATCAGCTCAGCAGAAGATACGTTCACAATTAGAGCAGGAACAACTTCATTTTCCGGATGGGGATGTATTTTATTTTTTGACATTAACATTAATGACAGAACCCAAGAACAAAAAAGAATTCGTAAACCGCAAGCATGCTAATGAGGAACATGGAGGGGGGAAAACCACCTCCACTGGAGCAGAGAATCTTTGGAAAGAATGCCAGACCCCTCCCGGGGGCAAGAATGGAAGCGGGATACAGGACTGGCAGGGGAGGAGGGGGCACCAGGACAGCAAGCAACCCTCTCTCCAGCGACATGAAACTGATGCCCTCTCTAACGTAGAAGTAAAGGCGACCCTCACCCATAAAATCCAGGAACGGATCCTGGAACTCAACTGAAAATAAAACAAAGCAGAAAACCAACAAAACGCCCGTAAAGGACAGAAATCCAGGGAGAGGGGGAGTTAGAGGGGGAGGTCCCCAAAGGAAAGAAGCGTGGAGCTCTCTCTGAGGTCTAAGTTACTCCAGCAGAGGAAAGAGAAAGGGAAGAGAAGGAAAGATGGGGAAGAAGGGGGGAGGGTGGTGGAGATGAGCAAAGGAAAGGAGGGAAGGACAGAGGGCGCCCAGGAAACGGGCTGGTACAACTCCTCGGACTCACCTTCTTCCCTCCTGGATCGGGCGGCTCGTGGCTCCCAGGGCCCTCTCACTCCAAAGCTAGAGCTCTGCGGGCCTCCGCAGTTGTACCTTCCCCGCCCCCGGCTTCGCCACCGCTCTGTTCTCCTAGCAGCCTTCCTCCTTCTCCTCCTCCACTTCTACGCCCTCGCGTAGTCCCTAGTGCTGAGTGGCCACCCTCTCCTCCGTCCGTCGGTCCAGCCGGGAGGGATCCTGCGCCCTTTGACTCCACAACCCCAGCCCAGTCGCTGCCGCCTGAAGCAAAATCCCCGCCCTCCGGGGCTGAACCGCGCAGCTGGCCGGACGCGTCTGCAGCCGGGAGAGGGAAAGGTGGAGCGTGGAGAAAGGGGCTACAAAGCTTTGCGCCCAAGATGCAACTGCAAGCGCTGCTCTGCTAGCTGGGCTGGGCAATGCGGAGGGGGAAGGGGCGGGAAATGGGGAGTAGGGGGAAAGCTGTCGCTGAGGGGGCCTGGAGGTGGGGGGGGCGGGGAAGACGGGACACGCTGCAGCGCAGCGGGAGGCGGCAGCCAGGAGCCAGTGCGTGCTCCGCTGCTGCTGTGGCCCCCTTTCTCCCTTCCGCTAGGTCGATAGCACCTCTACTGCCCAGCAAGAGTGGAGCCCCTTTTCCGGAAAAACAAGTTTCTCACCCACCCATCCTGTGCCAAGCTGAGCCCCTCCCTTCCTTCCCCCCTCCCCCCGGCCCCCGCCGCCCCACCTCCACCTTTTAGTCCAGAGGAATCTGATTGCACCTAGTCCTTCGGAATTTAATTGCATCACCGCTAGGGCAGCAAAATTTGGGTTAAAGAGGGAGGAACAGAGAGAGGAAGAGTAGAGCTATGGTCCAAATGACCTTGACCCTGCGGAAGGGGCCCCTAAATTATAGACTACCCGCAAACCCTCCCTTCTATTCCATTTCCTCCTTAGCAGCCTTATTCTACCCTCAATCTCTTTAGGAAGGAAAAAAAAGTCCTGAGAGAAGGGGGGAGGGGGGTTGCAGATTGGAGCATTCTTACACTTATCTAGATTTTTCCCCCAAGGCGTTTCCAGTTGGTGTTAATTTTGCGCTGTTGTTTTCTCTCAAGCTGTTAGGCTAAGCTGTATTTTCTGGAAATGGCACACTGCCATGCAAACAGCCTTTGCATTACATGGTCCTTTCAAATTAAAGAGGTGCCCATAACCTACATAAACTTGGCCTGTTCTTTTAAGGCCTTGTCTGTGCCTATTTAGTTGGTATTTCAAAAACTCCTGTTGGTGAAAATAAAAATGCCTCCACTACCTGCTTCCTGATGCCTGTCATTCTTTTAACTCAGAACAAACTCTAGTTCCAAAATTAGAGATAAGGCTTAACGTACAAATGCCCCTAGGAGAAGTAACTCAGAGTTATTAAGGCTGAATGAATGCCTGATCACCAGATCATTCCTAGAGAACAGGTTTTGATGGGAGGGTGCCTCCAAGTAGAAACAAAAGGAAAAGAGGCAGAAGAAATACCTTTGGAATTGCAGAGATGAACTTTGACTATTCACAGTTTTGCCTGGGACTTGTGCCTGATGTATTCCTATCTAGCATATCACAGTCTTTGATTTAAAACAATTATTTAAAATAGCAAAATCCTGAATGGTAGCACTTGGTTTAAGTTGATTTTTTAAAAAATATTTGAATCCTAAAACAATAGAATTTCAGAGTTGGAAGAGACCATAAAGGTTATATAGTCTATCCTGAGTCATAAATCACCACCCACCCACCCACCACCCACCTCCGTTTCTAGCTAATGGATTCAGTTTGACAAAACTGGGAGTATCTCAGTTCACCTTTGAATTCGTTCTGGTGGAGCTGGGGTCTATCTGTATTAAGGATCTAAATCTTCACCCTTGGGGCAAACAGTAAGAGCAGCTTCGCCAATCTTTTTTCTTTTCTTTTTTTTTTTAAAGAGCATTGGAGAATCAGACAAGGATAATTTGCATAATCTAGCCCAGTTGCTCTAAAGATGGGAGATGGAAAGGAATTAAGACAGCAAACCAGTCCCCTTAACCCCAAGATTCAAAGGGAAGTGCCAGGGTTGGAGTTGGGGCTGGTATTGGCAGGAAGCACAATCAGTAACTAGTAGAAGGAGACAACTGAGACAGTTATCAAGAGCCTACCCAGAGGTGGAAAACATTCATTTCAGTTGCCTAAAGATTTGTTCCTAAAACCATACAAATAGACCCTTTATGTGGAGGGTGAGGCTGTGGAACTCCAGAGTGTGTTTGTGTACATACACATACATGTATATGGCACAAACCACAGAAGGTTTCAAAAGGCTGGAGGGAATGTGGCCTGCAGGCTTGAAAGGGCTAAACACTATGCTAACTATTTGAAAGCTGGTCCTCTGGAGATAAAATAATGAGCACCATCTGCTGGAGAGACCTGAGTTGGGGAGAAGGTAAAGAGCTTTCAGACTAGAGGACCGCAATGTGGTACCAAAGGACATTAGAAAGGAGTACCATTGTGAAAGACGTAACCTGTAGCCTTTCCCCTCTTCCTGCAGTTGGGACCTCATCCAGTGCAATACTGTAAATCATAGAGAATATACTGGTCTCTAGGGAATGGCTGCCCACAGGTTGAAAGAGTGTTGCCCCAGTGAGCTCAGATGGGAATCCTTTCTCTGTATTTTCTTATGTAAATAAAGCCACTGTATAAGTTAAAGCCTTGTAATCTTGAGTGCTTATAAGAACTGGTTAACTACCCTTGGTATTTGTTTTTATCCCTGGTAAAATTCCAGATACTGTAGATCCTAGATTGAGCTCAAGTGGGAGCAAAGTGCCAAGGGAGTGAAAAGTTTCCAGGGTATACTCGGGCACTTTGTTGGAGGAGGAAGCCTTTGGCTTACATGTACACGGAGATCCCCAGTCCTGACAGTACTTCGTTTCTTTGTTTCTTTTTTTTTTAATACACTTTTACAGATTTTTCCTGTTTCCTACATTATCATAGTATCCCATGTATCCCTCCCCTCGTCCAACCAGAGAGCCATCCTATACAACAAACACTATTTTTTCGGGGGGGGGGGGTCAGTACAACTGATCAATGCATTGAAAAAGTGGACCTCCCACCTTCATGAAGGGGTATGTTGAGAGTGTCTTCTCATTGTTTTTCATTTGAGTCTTGCTTGATCATTTTAATTTTGTTACATTTACTTTTGATTTTTTGGTGTGTCATTCTTTCCATGTACATTGTTGTAGTTTCTGTGTATATTGTTTTCTTGGCTCTGCTTATCACTCTGCATCAGTTCATGTAAATCTTTTGGTAAATTTCTGTATTCATCATATGCATTATTTATTACAGCACAATTCCATTACATTCGTGTACCACAATTTGTTCAGCCATTACCCAATTGATAGATATCTACTTTGTTTCTAATTATTAGGTATCACAAAAGTGCTGCTATGAGTATATGGGGACTTTTTTCTTATTGATAGCTTCCTTGAGGTAAAAGCCCAGTAATGGAGCCTCTGGTTCAAAGGACTTGGACATTTTGGTCACCTTATTTGCATAATTACAAATTGCTTTCCATAATGGTTGTACTATTTCATAGCTCTACCAACAATGTATTAGCCTGCCTATCTTTCTACCACCCGTCCAACATTTACTATTGCCATTGTTTGTCAGTTTTGCCAATTTGCCAGGTATGAGGTGAAACCTCAAAGCTGTCTGGATTTGCATTTCTTTTTTTGTTAGTGATTTGGAGCATTTTTACATGTGGTTGTGAATTCTTTGCAGTTCTTTTGAGAACTGTTTATTCATATCCTTTGACCAGTTATATATTGGGTAGTGACTATTACACACACACACGCACATATAGTTATCTTGATACCAAACCCTTATCAGAGAAATTTGATACAAAGAATTTTTTTTCCCATTTGACCATTTCCTTTCTCATCCTAAGTACGTTAATATGGTTTGTGCTGAAGCTTTTCAGTTTCGAGTTCCCTCTTCTGCAGTAAACACTTCGTTTATGACTTTCATCTTTTTTTGAGGTGGCCCAGTTCTCACTGACTCTTTCTCCCGCTCCCCTGATCCCCTCTTCTCAAGTAATACCCCTTTCCTTTTTTAGGGTATTGTTAATTAGTTCCTTTTTCTCTCCTGCTTTTTTTCTGGTTATATCTTCTTTTTTCTTCCCAGTTAATCAAATAAAATCCCTCTTCCTCTTCTCCCCTTCAGCTAGTCCTGTTCCTATGGTTTTGAAATTTCAGTTTTTTGCACCATTTTCCAAAAAAGATTTCTCTTGTTCTCATTATCATTCATCATCTCTTTCTTTTTCATAAGTTCCCAAAGTGGGCAATAACACCCCCATAGGGTGCTAGAATGATGGGGGGGGTAGTATCCTTGGGTGCAATTGGAAGGGGGGAGTGGGGGAAGCATAAGGAAAGAAGAGAAGAAAAAAAATTTGAAAAACCATTCATACATGTTTCATCTATTGTGTAACAGAATTAAAGTCATAGTGATTACATTATTTTCCAAATATACACACAAAATGCAAGTTATAAGCCATCAGTAGTAAAGTCCACCAACAGGTCTTAACAATCAGGTGTTGGCAGGCAAGTGTGTTTCACATTGTCAGGAAGTATAACATGTATCAGGCAGGATTATGTCATGTAATGACTTCTTTACAATATGATACTATTTGGTTAAATGACACAATATTTCATCATCAAAATTTCAATGCAGGAAAAAACCCACAAGTTTACAATAAATTATTAAATTTAAGATGCATTTCTTTTACAAAAATATATTTTATAAATGACACAAATTTTTTAAAAAATTAAAGGGTTAAAGAAAGTAGATTTCCAGGTTGGGGGGGGGAGTGCTTAGCAACTTTTTTTTAAAAAGGGGGCAGTAGGCCAAATAAGTTTGGGAACCTCTGCTCTATACCCTCATTCTCTGATTTATAACTCCTAAAATTATCTGGTTTCTCTCTTTTCTCTGTATTCTTCATGCAATAAAAGCTTCCAAGGGATCCATTCTAGGCTCTCCCCTCTGTGTGCTTTCTGCCATTGCCTTATAGGGTTTGATCCATGGATTCCCCCCCTTCTATTGTGCCATTTCCCACTATGTCCCTGATTATGCAGCCCACTCATCACCTATACCCTCTCTTAATGATCTTTTTTTTCTATATTTGCCTAGAAATCTCCTCCCTGTGTTCAGGCTCCCCCACTCCTCCAGGTG